TCTCTCATAAAAATAATTCTTTGACATATCCAAGATTGACATGAACTTATGAAAAGAAACAAATTCTAAAGCTAATGATTACAAACATGAGTTCTAAAATAACATGACTCTTTTAACTTAAAAACACAAATAGAAACCATAACAGGACTCTTTGAACAGTAGACATTTTCTTCAAAAATAAAAAATAAAACAAAACAGACTGGACCACTTCCATCAACTCAGTAACTTTCTCAATTGATATGCGAAAAAATGCAATGTTTTTATTCCTTGGCAAATTACTGAATTACCTACCTACTTAAATGACCCTGAAGTCAATTGAAGTGGTCCATATGTCTGTTAAATTACTGAATTATTGAATTGTGGAAATGTGAAGATGGTTGTGAATACAGGAAAGAATCCCAAAATACAGAAATGAAGAACAACAGCCCTGCCTGCAAGCCTTCTTGATTGTTATTGACTGAACAACTTTGAAAGAGTAGCATCTAGAGCAGAACAGGACTAGGAAGATACTTTTAATATATACTTCATTGATCTTGCAACCTTTTGGGAGATGACACATCAGAATGCCACCAAAGGAGTCCTATTATTATCGCAGTGGATACAACTTGGGTGACTCGTAAACAGCTTAAATATTCATGGTGCCTCTCTTTCAGACCTCTCCTGAAAAGAATTGAATACTGCTCCCACCAGGATGCTCCCCAACCTCTTGAATGTGACATTCCCTGTATCTCTAACTCACTATCAACCATCACAGGTTTCAGAAGCTTCTGCTTCTCTATGTTTGAAATCCTTGTTTCATAAGTACCTACAAGATACTGCAGAGAAGGCAGAATGTAGATATATTTGAAGGAATCCCATGAAAAAGTAAAAGAATCAAATAAGCAGACATAAGATTAGCCTTATGATCAATTTATAACCTCTTGGACGTCCACAGGGGATGGCCTTCCATCTTGTTTTTCAGGAAATTGGATTCCAAGTAAGATTTTAGCCTCCAGAACAATGGGATTGATTTGTCATTTATGTTCCCATTTGCAAGATCAATTAAGAACTCCGCTGGGTTCATAGCTATCAKAGGAGAGCAACCAATTGAAGATAAATATAGCATAGCTTCAGAGGCTTTTCCGAAGTACAATGAATTGCCTCTGCTCAAGAGAATTAACTTGTCGAACTTGTTGAATAGTCTGCTTGATGGCTGATGAATTGTACTCACTACTGTTTTTCTAGCCTACAAAACCCCACATTGAAATTCAAGGGAGGATGTTTTCTAAATTAAAGAAAATAAGAAATGTTGTGGTTTATTACCTTTGCAATATTGTATATCATTTGAACTATTCTAAGAGTTGTAGTTGAGTCTAAACCAGAGGTTGGTTCATCTAGGAAAAGAAGTGATGGGTTGAGCAGGATTTCATTGCCGATGCTCCAACCATGGTGCTCGGATTATCATCTCCAAGGATGAAAGGATTAGCTTTCAATTACTACAATAACAAAGGAACTCTGGGTAAGTAAGCACTCTACTTTAAGGATTAGCTCTCATTACGTCTTATACCAAAAGACCGAACGGTGTACCTAGCCTTTAAGAAAATGGGGGTTTGCCCACTCAGCTGCTCCAACACCTTCGTGGCTTTGGTGAGACGATATCCACTTTCACCCACGGAGATATTGATGACTAATTTTTGAACTTTGATCTCCCATACTGGGTTCAAGAGCTTCTTCTCTAAAGACATTGCTCTCCGCTGTTGGATTTTAATCTCTAGACCTGATATTGCATTTGCAGTAAGTAAACTCAGTCGGTTTACAAGTAATCCCGGTGCAGAGCACTGAAAGGCAACTGGGAGAGTTCTTGGGTATCTCAAGAGAACCTTGGAACTTGGCTTGTTTTACTATGATTATCCAGCTATACTAGAAGGGTATACTGATGCAAGTTGGATTACTGGTAATGGAGATAACAAGTCCACCTCTGGATGGATTTTCGTCCTTGGTGGGGGTGCGATCTCTTGGGCATCCAAGAGACAAACTTGAATATCTCACTCAACCATGGAATCCGAATTCATAGCCTTAGCGGTTGCTGGAAAAGAGGCTGAATGGATTAGGAACTTATTATTGGATATAAAACTTTGGCATAGTCCTATGCCTCAAATTTCCATTTATTGTGATAGTGAGGCAACTCTGTCAAGAGCCTACAGTGGTACTTACAATGGTAAGTCCAAACATATAAGCCTGAAACATGAATTTGTTAGGCAACTGATTCAAGATTGAGTCATCACTACAACCTATGTGAGGTCAAGTAAAAACTTGGCTGATCCTACCAAGGGCTTGGCCAAAGAATTGGTAAGAATGACAACCAAAGAGATGGGATTAAAACCATTTACTTAGTCACCTGTAATGGTAACCCGGCCTAAACTGAAAAACCATTAATATTGGGTTTAATGGGTAACAACAAGTTACAACAATGTGATTGTTAGCACTAACATTGAGAAATTTCCCATCACAACATAAACAGTGTTGTCCGTTATGATGAGAGGTTGAGTTAAAGTCTTAATGAAGTTCTGAAATGTGTCAAATAACGAAACACATAATGAAATTTCACCTATGTGAACATAGAAGTGGTGCCGCTTCTCATGAGAGTTTGGGTTTGCTCTTGGGATTGTTCATGAAATCATGAAAGAAGCACATGGCCATAACAATGTTGAGCAAAACTTGAAACTCTTGCAGAGACTGGACATTTTTGTGTGTATAGGTGTCTTCGGTCTGTCTTGAGAGTAATTGGTTTAAGGTCTTACCACCAATAACTTTGACAAGGCTCTGAGATATCTATACTAACAAAAGGTTTAAGTTGATAAACACCTTTTGTATGCATAACTGTGTCATAGTAGTTTGGATTGAGAGAGAATTATGTAATTGATCAATCAATGTGGGGGATTGTTGGATTTTAATCTCATAAGAGATTAAATCCAATGAGTTTGATTAGTCAATTACATAAGAAATTGCACCTACACACTTGATTGAAAAATGAGTTTTTCTCTTACAAAACCCAGTTTTGAACTTATCCCACATTGGAAAATTATAAGCTTTGTTTTCAATATTTTAATAGGAGCTGATTTACACTCCTTAGAAATAGTACATGAGAGTATGGGGGTTTGATACTGCGCAACGCGCGCGCACGTGTGTGCAGCGCAATGAGGCGCTTTAGAGGCGCACTTTGCATGCACCCGCATGGCTTGCAAAGGGCGGCTTTGGTTTTGGTGCGATGCTAACCGTTGATCACCGTTGATGAGATCAACGGTCACGATTCGATCGGGTGTGATCAAGAGGCACAATTCAAAGTTAACAGCCATTAACTGTTAACTACTTTTTAAACAGTTACAATGTTTGAAATTGTGACTATTCAAGGTGCCTTCTTTGAACCAGCACCTACCTTTTCTTCATACCTCTTCATAAACTATTTAAGGAGCATGAATCTGACTTCAAAAACACACATTTTTTAAATCCACTTTTTTTTCTCTCTCTCTCTCTCAGTCCGGTCTGCTACAGTCTCACATAAGGTTTTTTCGAAGATTCTTCAACTTTGCTRGTTACAGATTTGCCTGTAACCCAACAGCAAACTCAGTGAAACTGAGTGGGGGCAAATAACGTTCTAAAGACAGTGTCTTCAAACGCGCCTTAAAGCTTATCCTCCAAAGTTACAGTGACCCCATTTTCTTACATCCGCATACGAGGTTACAAAGGCAACCGAGTAGGTTGATCGTTTACGGAAGAAAGTAGGGGGAGGGTGACGTTTAACGGCGAACGTTAATGTCTTTTCTATCTTTAAATGATTTTCTGTTATGAAATGTGATTTTAAATGTTGTTTTTGAAACCGGTTACCTGCGATGATTGCCCCCCCACAATGTCCCACAACACATCCCCGTTGTGTATTGTAAACATCTCCCGATAATGATATCATCATTTCTAGTATCACATCAGGAGATGTTCCCAATACACGACTTGAATGTGTTGTGGGACATTGTGGGGGGTTGATTTGCTCTCACCGCATTCACCGAAATAGAAAGTTGGTTGTTAATTGGTCCATCTCATCCGATATGATATGGAAAACATTCTTTTTCCGTATCATAGATTTTCCCTTCAAAATCAGAGTGGGGCTTTACCATGGTGTTCAGCCCTCCCACGTTATCGGAATCTGACTCCTCCCGCGTCAACTCCTTCGAAGTCCGAACACATTCATCCATTCCTTACACAATTTAGCCACCAAGATCATGATTTTTAAAACCGAACTGGTCAGGGGTCCTGTTACTGGTTCGAATGGTCCTGAATGGTCGGCCCGTTCTGACAGAAAAAATAAAAAAATTTAAAAAACTGGAAAACAGTCAAAACCGTTCGAACAATAAACCGGCCAGTTCAGCAATTTTCTGACCAAAATCAACAGTTTTAGGGGAAAAGTGGTTTTGGAGGAAAACGGTGACCGGTTCCCGGTTTTTCCGATCCGACCGTCCGGTCCGATCCGGTTTTGAAAACAGTGACCAAGATCATGTTAAGAAATGCAGAGGTGGCCGCCGGCTGGTAATCTGAGGTCGGCAGAGGCTTTACGGAATCCTCAATTATCCATATAGATTAGAGGAGCATTTCATCTAAAAGGATGTAAATAAAACTATCGCACGTCGCCTGAGAGATTCGAACTCTCGCGGGGAAACCCCATGTACTTAGCAGGCACACGCCTTAACCACTCGGCCAAAGCGACATTACAATAGATAAAATTTATAAATAATTAATGTTTACAGCTTTAGCCCGTTTGTTTAACCATAGATTGGCATATCAGACGAGAGTGTAAATGAGAATAGTCCCATTACAATGAGCGGGTGTAGATTCGAATCTGATGACGGAGAACGGGAGCAGACCTTGCATAGTATTAGGGCAGGGCCGTCAGATTCAGATCTGATCTCAATATTGTTTGTACAGTCACCAAACAAAGCGGCAAGTCTGACACAAGGCCCACAACTTCCTGTTCTTCTACAGTTGTACCTACTCAACTCTGTGCATCTCTTTCTTTTGACCCGTTGTTTTCGGAGCTCGGATCTCTTCGTGGAAAGGTCGAAGGCGAGCTTTGATTCTGACTTATTCTTTTTGTCTCTGCTTTTAGAAGAAACTGTAAACGCTTGTTTCTTTGGCTTCTTTCACGGGTCAGTCAATAGTTACCCTCTTCTTTCACCTTCTAACAGGGCTCTTTTAGACATAATTTCGCCATTAGATGAATAGAGATGACTTGGGTATTGTTTGATCTATGACTACGACGATGAATGGTTCTTCAAGATTAAAGATTGATAGTCTGCATGCTTAGTTAATTTTTTCTTTTAACTCATTTTCACGTCGTTTTAAGTAGCTCTAATGGATAGAACAGTTCAGATAGCTGACCTTTTGTGCTTTTGATTTGGTGTACTAGCAAGCTTTACAGTATACAATCTTGTTCCCAGCAGATCCTGAGTAGAGATCTGTATTATGTTTTTGGGTTTGTGGGGCAGCACGCCATCCAATTGATCGACGGCCTTAGACCCACCCAAATTTTGATTGTTCTTAGCTTTTCTTCTGTATTTAGTCTCTAAGCATTTTCTTGTGATATAATATTTCCACAGTTTTTACTTCTAAAATTTATCCATTAAGATCTGCCCTTACATGCTTTCACACAGGAGTGACTAGCTCAGAAAACTTTGGAGGGCCAGAAACAGTGTAAGAGCCTTCTCTTTGTCGTAGATGGCTTAGTTTTTTATGCTTGTTTAATGTTTCCTAATGCTTATCCAAATGATGTTTGGTATTTTCACTTTATTGTTATAAAGAGATATCATCTGTAATTCCAACTTGCTTTATGAGTGTTGGCCCCTCTTCTATGATTAATTATTTGCCTCCACTATTCAATATCCATCATCATTATCTAAGCCTTGTCCCAACTATATGGGATCGGCTACATAAATCCCGTTGTACCATTCCCTGTTTAATGTCATACTCATATCTAAATTATAAGCCCTCAAATAATTTTTTATGACTTCAACCCATGCCCTTTTTGGGTTATATCTTTTGTGTAAGCACATCAATCATGTTAAATGAAAAGTTAGTTACCATTTGGAATTATGAAATTTTACAAGCATCAACAAGGTTGGTTAAGCTCCTAAGAAAATCTGTGGTGTAAAAGATGATCATCCATCTAGCATACAGGAAGAAGCCAAAATGTCTGCTAATTTGTGTTGTGAATCCAAAAATAAGCATTCGATTCATATGGGCCACCCTCAGAAACAATTGATACCAAACTTGCTGCATCACTTGGGGTGAATGACAATCAGCTTAAACCATTATCCTGAAATATGGATGAGGAATCCTTCTGAAGGGGGATGAATGGGATATTCTATTGGCCTGGAGGAAATAATGCAAAGCTGGATTCCACACATGACAATGGGACCATTCTTGAACTAGAAAACAAGAGATAATAATGTCAAAAGCAATTTGGCCAACTGGTCACCCTCTTCAATTTCTCTCATATTATGGATAATTGATTCAAGGTGTGGGAAGTGGTTAGTTTGGCTAACTTATCAATCTTATTTGCACCCCTATCTGTACACTCTTTTTACTAAAACTGCATGTCTATTAGTCCAACTTATCTTAAAATCTTTTGATCCTAAACATTTCTTTGTTGTTCTAGCTTTGCATTCTGGTTAAACTTTAGTCTTATCTTCAAAATTTTATTGTTACTGGATTAATAGAGAAGTACCACAAGGCTACTAATACCTCTATAACTAGTAGAAAGGTTTTGCCAAGTTGAAATGCTAAGCATTTCTTGTCTGCTGCTATGCTGATTCAGATTTCAGAATAGAGGGAAACATGTAGTTGTGGTTGGCTAAGATTTTCTTTAACCTCCTTGTCATTGCAATAATTCATTAATTTATTGAATATAAGAAACAACATGGTAGTTAGTAAATTCAATTAACTATTCTCTGTTTGGTCTGCCTTTGCAATTCTTATTTGATCTGGTTTTAATTGAAATTATCATGATAAAGTTGAGGTTATAGAACTTTCATGTTTCTAGCTTTGCAGTCCTGGTCAGTTATCATTTCTTTCCTTTGAAGGCATTATTTACACCAATTATCTTCTGCTTTTAACCATCTGGTGTTGTAACTAAAACCATTTTACAGGTACCTAACTAGCATTAGTTTTTGAATGGCCTTCCGAGCTTTCTGGAACAGTCCTGTTGGTCCCAAAACAACTCATTTTTGGGGCCCTGTTGCAAACTGGGGGTTTGTCACTGCTGTATGTTCCAATACCTTTCCTTTTTGTTATAATATAGGTGTATTTGGGTTGCACGATTGTTAATAAATATGTATATTTGATTGTAAAATTAATAAAACTGGTCTAGCCTGGAAAACTGGGAACAAAGTCTTTGGGTTGGTTTGATGTAGGGAAAAAATGCACAAGAAACTTAATAGAAAAACAGATGGATCAGCTTGTTTTATGCCAAGCTGGAAGGTTAGGATGCTTTGCCAGGTATTGGCCCAGAAAATACAGACCCATAATAATAACAACAACGATGACGACAAATTGGTTTGAGATTTGAGGGAGAGTCCCTCTGTAAAAGAGGTTGGGGTGGGGAGCAAAAAGATAGATGACAGTTGGGCTAATAGAGATGCATGGTGATTGTAGATTACTACTGTCTAGATCCTAATATGGACAGGTTTTTAAGTCTATTCATCTGTGAAGAGTCTAAAGGACCCAGAATCTTCCACATGGTACCATTGTTTTGGGTTATCAGGGTCGAATGTGTTCCTTGCTCCTTTCATCATCCTCTATTCATGGGGCAAATTCCAATGCAAATAGCCTTCTCAAGTTTCCAAATGAGTCCTTTATTTCCCTGGAGTTCATCTGCCAAGCAAATTGGTAACCTTCAATCTGATATACTCTTTCCTGGTTCATTGGTTGTTATGACCATGGTTTGATAATAATCCTGCTTTATTGTTTATCCATCTATATATAACATCTACGCAATGCTTACTTGTTAGTAATCAAAATTTATAATTGGTTGCTTCCATAGGGATTAGCGGACACGCAGAAGCCCCCTCAAATGATATCTGGTAACATGACTGCAGGTTAGAACTTAAATTGCCAGTATAAAGCATCTATTTACCTTTTCATATATTAACAGCTAATCTCACCCTCTATTTGGTACTGCAGCAATGTGTATCTGCTCAGGGTTGTTAATGAGGTTTGCTTGGATGGTGCAGCCACGAAATTATCTACTCCTAGCATGCCATGCCTCCAATGAGATAGTGCAGCTCTATCAACTCTCACGTTTGGCAAAGTCTCAAGGGTAAGAAACCAAAGATGTTTTCTGGATACAATATAGTTACTTTTTGGTATGACTTTGTTTAGTCTGTTATTCCATGCATTTGCATAAAGGGAAAGAATGCCAAAAACAGGAATTGAGGCAGGCATCTGGTAAGTGGTAACATTCCAGTGCAACAGTCTGGTGTCCTGGGAACAGAGAAAAACTTAATTTCTACTATCAAGAACACCAGAAACTTTCTGTTAAAACTTGGAGAAAATGCCTCCCAAATTTTGTAATGGTGATTAGTATTAAAAAGAATACCATGGTGGTGTTGTTACCTCTGACAACCAATTGTTTGTGGCCTGGAAATTGTACATGGAAAATCCTGCTTGTCCTTTCAGAGATCCTTCTACATTCTTCAGCCAGTTATTTTATTGGGCATGTGGAAGCAAATATTGAAGTTACATAAATATGCAGAATTGTGACAGGTTAATGAAATTATTTAAACTGCTTCTGTGACAGGTATTTGGACCAGAAGAAAGAGGAAGTCGAACGATAGTAACTTTCAGATGTGTTGTCCTTGATGTTAGTTTTGACCAGACGTTATGCCCCTTTGTGTAAATTATCCAATAAGTTGTTCGAATTTAATCCCTGTATCTCTAGATACCAGAAGATGGGTGAACGTGAGTTTATTTTCATTTGTGTGAATCATTGATGCAACTGCAGACTCAAAGAAATACTGTACGAGAAGAATAAGGATGGACTGGAAGACAAAAGATGGTAGAAGTAGAACAAACGAGAGCCAAAGAGGATGTGTTTATGAGAGAGAGAGAGAGAGAGAGAGAAGTGACACTTGTTGTGCAAGCATTAACTTAGAAAAGCGTGGTGTAGTGTGATTGTTCTTCGTCAAAATCTCTGTTAAGACTTCTTTGTGTTGTCTTGAAGATTGTTCTACCTCTCAGAAAGCGATTTTAACCACAGTACAACCTTCTGAAAATTATTTGCTCCACCCAGATTTTGTTTCTGGCTGGGCTGGGCCCAAAAATTTGGATTTCATTTTTACTTTTTGAGATGGACCCAAGCCTAGACCAGATCCAGACCAAAGTTTGCCCAACCTTATCCCAAATCGAGTCCCAAATTTTCTGTAATCAGACTCGGATTTTGTTTATTTAAGATTTGGATTTTAATTGGATGCAAGCTCCAAACTTCAAATGATAATCAAAGTAAACCACAGTTTACAAGAGTTGTTCTCCAAAATTTGTTTCTAACAGGTCTAGGGATCTACTACCAACAAAACACCCCTAAGTCTGTCCCAACAGGCCACTGCAGCCCATGAATCAGGTATCATTTTTGGAAAGATGTTTCCAATGTGCGGCTGCAGTGGCCTGTTGGAAGTATTTTGTCAGTAGCAAATCTAAACTTCTATTTGAAGCAAGTAAGCCTGTGGTCTTGAGGAGAGTCAGGAGACTTGCTTCAAAAGATTCTAATGTTGGGTCAAACCATCATAACTCCCAAGGGGGTAATTCACTAAATTTGCCCTGGTTCTCTCGTTTCCTTTTTGCCTTAGTGGTTCCAGGTAAATCAATTTTTTCCCTATCAAGTATGGTGAAGCTGTTATAAGAATAAGGTCCTAGTGTCCAACCAATTACCCCTTGTTAAATTTAATGTTACTAAGGCTCAGATTGGAGGGAGTACAAATACATACTTGTAGAGTGCAAAACTTTGTATTTTGTATGTATTTGTATTTATAATAAGACTAAGTTTTTAACTAATGACTCAACAAATTAGCCCTTTCTCTTCTATTATCAGTGCTTGGTTCCGGATAAGAAAATAAACAAGAAATCAACCAAATATAGTTAAAACAAGTTTAGGATAGAAGTTGTTAAGCCCCAATTCTTATTTGAGTTCTACTACCGTGCATTCATTGGTGGTTGCATATTAAATCTAGATCTCAACCAATTACATTAAAATTTATTCTTTTGATAAAGTCATCATCATCATCCCAATTATATGGGGTCGACTATTTATGAGGATTTGACAAAAGTTTTAGTGGCAGCTGCCAGCCTGACACAACTGTCCTCATTTATTCGGGCTTGGGAGATAAGTTGAAACAGGTGGAATTACTTTTCACATTTAACAAGGTATACTAACAATGCACCGTAGATTTTGCATTGCTGAGGGGAGAGAGAGTGGAAATTCTGAGTATAAGACGTGCTATGGTCAAGGAATTCTGAAAAAACACAAGAGCGGAACGCCCTTGCTAATCTAAGATTTAGCTTACATGTATAATGTATTCTTAACGTTTAAGCTATTTGCTTTTTAAATAAAGGGACCCATTCCATGCTGGATCTACATTCTCCAAGTATCTCATCACTATGACAAAGAAATTCCAAAGGAAAGAAAAGATTTGAATGAATTAATTTAACAGTTAGCTTGCGAGCACTTAACTTCCAAGTGATTTCACGTAAGAAAGGGGACCCACCCACAATCCAATTGTGGCTCCTATTTATGGTGAACATGACATGGCTCCAACTGTATTCTAAATCCTGTAGACCCAACTCCCAAGCACAGAAGCCTATCTTTCCTTATAAGCTAGAAAGTTGAAAAATGGTTACTTCAAACAGAAAATTCGAACTTAATGCTCTTATGATGATACCTGATTAGGAGAGATTTGGCCCTCTAATGATATTGCTACACGTGGCAATTCTAAACCATTGTTTAACACCTCATATACATGTTGGGTACATCTCACATGATCTAAGTATCTTGACACCACCTAGGCAAGGTCGATCTGTAGGCACCTTGGCCCAGGACTAGGTCAGCCATCTCAGGACCAAGTCGGTCACTATAGGACTGGGTTGGCCATCGCAAGATCAAGTCGGCCATCATAAGACCAAGTCGGTTAGGTCAGCCATGACAGGATCAAGTTAGGGATCTTAGCATGAGGGGCGACCTATCTCCGCTAACCTAGCTAAAGCGCGGTTGGCAACCTGCAAAGCGTAGTGGCTAACCCCCATCATGAGTAGGCTATCGTCTCTAAATCCTATAAAATCATGTTGCCTCTCATCAGTGGAGCTAACTCCCGCCCTACCCGCTTCGGAGGCAACTGGATGAGTTCTATCGTTTTATGCGGAAGCCGCCTTTGAGAGATAAACTGCCTCCGAGCAAGGTTGACCGGTAAGCCACGTCCCCCCAGAGATCTCGAACGTGCAGCATGAGCCCATGACAACCTATGCCTATATATAGGCATCCCAGTGATTAGAGAAGATAGGCACAATTTAGCTCTCAAATTCTCTAGCTCTTTCATACACTCATCGCTAACTTAAGCATCAAAGTGCCCACCCTAAACACTTTGATTATTGTTTGCTTACATCTCGGCCAGCTGAACTAGCCAGTTCGTTATCAAAGTTGTCATCGTCCAGTAGGGAGCAACCAGATCGCACATTATTAATTGCCACTACCTATGAGAAATGCTACAAAAAGCCTTCTCACTCCTGCTAAGTACTCAATGGAATCAACCAATGACAACAATAACAACAACGCCTAGATTGAAGGAACCCTCGTAGGGGCAGAATCAAAATGACTAGCACAAATAAGTTCCATTGGTCTTGCCCGAATACAATCTCTTGACCTTGACTATGGAGACGCCCCCGTAGGTCAAGCCCTCCATGGTTCCCATGGGAATTGATGGCCAACAGACTGTGGAGCCGCATTTTCGTCAATGTTTATAAAGTAAGGGGTCAACGGTTGAATAGCACTACTCCTCACCATCGTCCCCATCATCAGCACCCTCGCCAGCATCATTCTCATCGCCCTCTCCATTATCCTCCATTTCAGTTTCGGGCTCTGCATCGACCTCGTTGACCACCACCTCAATGACCGACTTGAGGGACATCGCATCGAAGTTTGTGTGAGTAAAGCGCCTTGAGGAAAAAGTGGCACAATTTAAGCCCTTCTTGAGGGTAGGCATGACGAGTACTTCTCTTGAGGTACTTGGGCAAATGACGGAACTCCTCAATGGCTACATCGCTAGTTCAACGGATGTCCACAAAGTGCTTATTGTGCTTCTCTTCATGTTAACAAGTTCACTCTTGCACCTGGTGGTCAAGATGGCGATGTTCTGCGTAGTGCCGCATTCAACCCTTAGACTCTTCTAGCTCGGGCAAGCAAATCTGGCCAGTGCCAAAAAACCAGTTGAACTAAGTCACTTCGGGCCAGAGATGTGTAGCAAACTACTAACTTTGACTCGAGAGTGGGGGCAATTGATGAGAGGAGATTTGGCCCTCTAGTGACATTGTGCCACGTGGTGATCTTGAACCGTTGCTTAACACCTCGACGCTACGTAGGCAACAACATTGCCTTCACCAACCTGGAGTCTGCATCAAATACGTGTTGGCTACACCTCACATGGTCTGAGTATCTTGACACCACCTAGGCAAGGCCAGTCTATAGGCACCTCAGCCCAGGACTAGGTTGGCCATCTTAGGACCAGGTCAACCACCATAGGATCAGGTCAACCACCACAGAACCAAGTCGGCCATCACAGGATTAGGTCAGCCATCACAAGACCAGGTTGGCCATCACAGGACCAAGTCGGCCATCACAAGACTAGGTTAGCCATCACAGAACAAAGTCTTCTATCATAGGACCAGGTTGGCCATCGCAAGATCAAGCTAGGGACCTCAGCATAAGAGGCGACCTCTCTCCATCAACATAGCTGAAGCACGGTTGGCAACCTACAGAACATGGTGGCCAACCCCCATCATGAGTGGACTATTGTCTTTGAATCCTCTGATATCACGCTACCTCATCGACGGAGCTAACTCTTGCCCCGCCCGCTTTAGAGGCAACCAGATGAGCTCTATCGCTTTACGCGGAAGTCATCTTTGAGAGAGAAACTGCGTCCAAGCGAGGTGGATTGGTAGGCCACATCTCTCGGGAGATCTCGGACGTGTCGCATGAAACCCATGGCAACTTGCGCCTATATAAAGGCATCCCAATTATTAGGGAAGGTAGGCACGATTTAGCTTTCAAATTCTCTAGCTCTCTTGCTTTCTATCTCTCTCATACACTCATTGCTAACTTAAGCATCGGAGTACACACCCTGGGTAAAGCACCACAAACACTCTAATTATTGTTTTCTTGCATCTCGGACATCCAACCTAGTTAGTTCGTCATCCAAGCTATCATTTAGCAGGAAGCGACCAGATCGCACATCATCAATATCAAGCATGTTATGAGAGGCCTCTTGGCATCCATCTTGTAGTTCTTTTCAAGGGAATTAATGCCAAAACCATATCATGTCCTTCCCACTTTGTCTTTTATTTGATGTATTAATATATCTTAATATATAATTTGTCACTATTGTTCATCAATTTAGATGTTGAAAGTAAGTTTTAAAAATAATAAAGATGGAGGAACGTATGATTTGGGTTGGCAATGGTGAATTTTGTTATATTTGTGCCTTGAATTCTTTGTAGCGACCTGCTTCAGGAATCCACTCCGAATTAATTTGAGAAAAACCCAAAGGCAAAACTTCATAGTGGTTTATGGTGGGCTATGGGCTTGGGCYGCGACGGTATTAACCCAACCCATATTCATCTTATAGGTCTGAACCGAATACGAAGAGTCATGTATTTCGGGGGGTTTTCTCTCTTATAAACAAAAGTCTGAGTCTTGTGAGAGATGAGTGAGACATCGGGTGTATTCGGGGCTTAGGGTTTTCTGTGAGAGCACAACTTTGTATTTTTTTTCTTCATTACCTAGTACATAGTGGATTTATGTTCCTCCTTCGCCAATGGACGTAGGCTATAAGCCGAACCACATAAATCTGTGTGTTATCTGGGTTTGCTTTCTCTTTATCTATATTTTATTTTCATTTGAGTGCCATTTCGAATATGTTTTCTTGGGTTTTTTTTTTCTGTAACAAATTTTATATGTAGCAAATGGAGCAGGGAAGAAACCATAGAGACAGTGAGGGGAAAACATTTGGTTTCCAAGAAAGTAATTGGAATTGGAAAGGTTGTAGGAAAATCCTTAAAGGTATTCGATGAAATTCCTAAGATTTTTCCTTTTATTTTTAAGGTTTTTCAGACAACATTCCCAACTTTAATAATTTTCCTAGAAACCAAATGCACAAAGGAACAGAATTGCAGGAATCTTTCACATGGCGCTGCAGCAATGACCAGAGTGACATATTCTAGTTCACCCTTGTGAGGCACTAAGGCAGACACCTAAACTTTGATGGTTTCCTCACAACAAATTTTGGCCCCAAAGACATTTTCATCTGTTAAAAATAAGCGAGGAGAAGAGATTCATTCCTCACAAAACCATGCTCACACCGTTCATACAGTCCTTTGTCACTTTGCATTAGAAATATCTTCGTACTTGTATATTTTTTCATGGGAAGATAATCCCAATACAAAGCTGAAAGGTACTTTGCGAATGGAGTGAACACGGTCTTGTGAGACAAACTTTTTTTTTGGTAAAATGTAAAAGGGATTGAGCGACAAAAAACAAATGCAATTAAAAGACCAAGGACACTTAAGACTGATCTATCAACAAACTAGGAAAACCCCTATTGGCCAACCAATCCACAACTTGATTAGCTTCCCTAAATACGGGTTATAGAACAGTTGAAGCTCGCAACTGCTACTCAAAACAAAGCACTCTTCAAAACAATGCTCCTCTGAGTCTCTGATCACCCCTTTTTTAGGTTGGCCGGTGAGTGCTTCACTAAAAATATAGAGCAAGTGTCAAGCAAGCAGAAGACGACTTCTTCGATTGAAGTCAATTCAACTTGAAAACGCTATATGGTTACTATTCCTTTATTAATTTCAACCTTCCCCACCCCACACCGCCGAAAAGAACATAGCTATTTTCTGGCTCCACCTCTGTACACGTACACAAGTGGAGCAGAGCACAAGTCCCTAGTCAACTGTTTGCATTGTATAGTCATCATCGTCACCAACTCCATGAATCGGCATCCCATTCAGAGCCATAGGTTATAGACTCGGGTTTCTGTCTAGGACTGACAAGGTCAGAAGTGGAATCACAAGCCATAAGGAATATTTAGAGTTTTGCAATTTAGTTATGACAATTTATAGTGCATCAATGTGCAGTAAAGATGTGAAAATACATTTTATGAAAGATGAACCAATAAAAAAGAGGGTTCGATTATGGCTTTCCGTGCGGATTTCGGACTGTTTAGAAGCTCAAAAGCCTGAATTATGGCTTTTTTTTGTTTGGCAATAGAAAATTCWWTTGGGAAAAAGCTCGAGTCCATAAAAGACACCAACAACTTGAATTTGGGTATTTTTAGGAATTTTCAAAAAAAGCTTTTACAATCTTTTAGTACCCCTCGTTTTCTTTGAACGTTCGGCACGATTCACACACTTGGGAGAAAATGGGTTATCTTTTCACAAAAAACTATTTGAATGTGTAAGTGGGACCTACCAATGGTATGTGGAGCCCACTTTAGGAAAAGTATGTCGGGCCCACACGAAATATATATGTGGGCCTTACATACAAGTCCACCAATGGTGTGTGGGGCCCACCTCAAAAATGTATGTGGGCYCCACATACATGTCCACACATGCATGCCCACCAATGATATGCGGGGCCCACCTTGAAAAAATGTATGTGGGCCCTACATATATGTCGACACATGGACCCCACATGCATGCCCACTTTGAAAAATGTATGTGGACCCCACATACATATCCACACATGGACCCTACATGCATGTCCACCAATGGTATCGGGCCCACCTTGTAAAATGCATGTGGGCCCCACATACATGTCCACCAATCATATGTGGGGTCCCCTTTAGAAAATGTATGTGGGTCCCGCATGTTAAATGAAAGGTTTGTTGGCCCACACATAAGACATTCGTATATACATAATATACATTTTCATCACATTACCAAACGGTCTTCTAGCATTTATGGTCTTTCATGAGATCTATGAAAAACATTTCAACCAAGCATTTATTTGCAAAAGCTTACCCTGTATTTTAACTATCAGATCTTGTAACAGATAGTTAGTCTTCCAAACATGCACTATGATATGGAAAAGATATGATATCCGAAAAATAACTGACCAATGTACTGGAATCATAAACGTGGTAGCCAAGGTTCTAAATATTGATATGCCTGTTACATCGGTAGGTGCTTATCGAGCAGCATCAGTACTATTTTTAAATTTTTTCATATCCAGTCAAAACCCCGATACACCCTCTATAGGGGCATATCAGGGCTCCTGATATGATACGAAACTTTGATGATAGCAAATAAAGTGTTATTTATCAAAATTGATAGGTGAATTTTAATTGGTCAAAAACAAAATTACAGTGATAGTAAAATTTCAAATTTCAAAAAAGACCATATTAAAAAATGTAATTAGTTGAGATTTGAATTTAACTACAACCAATATTGATAAATAACATGCTGCAATCAAAACAGCCGAACTAGTCCCATTTCAATTTTAATGGGAGTGCTGTTGAATTCTTAACATGCTGACAATTTTTCTTACTCTCAATTATTGAATTTTTGTAACCCTCTTCGTCCGTCCGCRTTAAAATATTTGAAATGCCTCTCTCTCATCAATCAATTGAATTAATTTTTTTTAAGGCAGTACTAGAGGTGTAAATTGGGTCGTGCTGTCCGCAGCTTGGCATGGCCCAACATGATCATGCAGGCTATGTTGGGCCTGGGTTTTAGGTCCATGAGTTAGAACGGTATGGCTCAATCGATTTGTGCCGCCCGCGGACTACAGGTCGACACGACCCAGCCCACTACCCGACCCATGACCCATATATATTATTTATATAATATTATATAAATTATAGTTATATAATAATATATAATATTTAATATATTAATAAAATAAATAATTTTTTTAATTTTATTATACTAATTTATTTAATTATTATATATAAGTAATTGCATACACAAAATTTATATAAAATTAAAAATTTAAATTTTTTATTAATTTTTTTAAATAAATAATTTTAACCCGATACACAGTCCAACCTGACCCAAGGCTCAGCCCATGGGCCAGCCCGGCCCGTGGCATGACATGGCACAGCACGGGTCCACACAGGCCTGGGCCATGCCGGGCCAACCCCCAAATTTTTCAACGGGGAGGGAGACCAGCACGGCACATTTGTGCGGGCTGCCCGCGGGCCATGCCATGCCGGCCGGGCACGGCACGGCACGCTTTACACCTTTAGGAAGTAGCATATTAACCAATTATCAATTGAATTTATTCTGATTTGACAAAATCTATCTAGCCATGAGCTCACATAAGGAAACGGTTCACGCCTGATGTATGTTGTAATTCTTACTTCATTCCACATAAGAAATTTATTAAAAAAATGATTAATAGAATAAATCTAGAATTAAATGTACGAACATTTTTACCAACTATCCAAATTCCAATGGACGCTCCCACTCAGGTCGCTGTAATTCATGATGATACGATGACACACTTTCACTAAACATGAAAACACATATCCTAAATAAGTAGGCTATCAAAGATTTCCAAATCGGACTCAAATGTTATCATTTATTTGCAGCACTATTGACAGAAGAAATAAACCACCTGACCAGGATTCCATCACTGATCTCCCATGCATAATTCATGACTGTGTCACAGTGTGTGTGCGCGCGCGAGAGAGATGTCGATAGAGAAGTAACAAGAGATTCAGCCATATGCAGAATAAGCAGGGAATGCAGAGTAAGTATTAAAAGGCGTACAAACATACGATATGAAAATACGTACATATTACAACTGTATCCCGATCCCATACTAGTCATATAATAAAGCTAGAGGAGTCTCTCTGTCTATGGTGTTTGTATGATTACTTATTTATGGAAATATGTATTACTTGTAATACCACCACTACAACTATTACACCAACCAAAAGGTTTTAACTATTGAAACGCGCTCCTCAGCCAGGGAACCAGGTAATATCTCTTTTCCGCTTCAGATTTGCTGAGGCTTCTCCACGTCCTCTAGTGGGCGGAACCAGGCCTTCTGCTCCAGCACCGAACTTTCACCATTCGCCGGTGGGGAATGGAGGCCACCGCGCTCCCCACCGGCCCCACCTTTCCCCTCAGTCGCCGGCCCAAATACCCCAGTCTGGGGATGAGGAGCCCAGTACTTCTCCGATTGTGGCTGGATCACATCGTCTGGGACCACCGACGGAAGTACCTGATCGTCTACGTTCTTGTCGTAGACAGAGAAGTGTGCACCCCTCCTGCATGCACACCCATTCATCATAAATCATTAAACAAATCAAATCATCCATAATTTGCCATTAGCCGGCTTTCAAAAATATAAATAAATAAATAATTTGTCACTAGCCTCGTCAATCGGCAGCCGGGCGGCAGCTACATACTGGGCCTCTCTGGGCTGCACTGAGAAATCCAAGCCCGATAATAAGAAGCAGCAGCCCAGCCTCTGCTTAGATTAGATAGGTTCGATTCAACGTGGGTTAGCCACGTGGATAGCCCAGGCGAAATGTATAGAATTTTGACATCTCACACGTGTACGGGTAAGGTCGAAAATTTTTGCTCCGTAGAGAGGACAAAGAAACCCAACGGAAAGAAAACGGACGTTACAAAATAAAAGGTGAAAAACGAAAATGTTTGTGGATTATGGTAGCTTCCACAATTGCCGAGCTTAGGTACTGGAACGGGAAAGTATACTGAAGGTTTCTTACGGACAACAGACAAGAATAAAGTAATAGAAAGCAAGTACCAAGCTACGGAATTGGGAATAGTGAATACAGATTCGGGGACAGGAGTTTTGAGTTTGATGGGCTTAGCTGTCAACTACCATGAACTCGGAGCACGTGACCTCATTCTACTCTTTTGCTCGGAAGCGAAGATACGAAGGGGAGAAATATCAAACACCTGGCTTAGCTTTGGGCTAAAGCCGTGAATCACAGCCCTCGATGTATTGATGTGGGCCCACCTTCAATTGGATGAAGTGACGTTAAGGTAGTGTGGGGCCATTAAAAATGCATCGGAGGCAGTGATTTTGGCTGACTAGCTGATTTCTCCTTAGCTGAAGGAGGCCACGTAGGCAGTGAAAGAAAGCTGAGGATATTTTAGAATCACAATTGTTCTAATCCAACGGTTCATCGACTATCCACAGATTAGTAGCCTAGCATGATGCCGGATCTGTCTATCGTTTCACTGGTAGAAGGCCGGTTACGTCATTTCTAGGCGAGATGAAATGGGCGCATTACACCTACCCTTGCTATAAACAGGGAAAATGAAGAAAAAGTGAAAACTGGAGAAAAGAATTTTACCAGGAAGAGAGAAAATTCCAGAAAGCCCTAAAGCAAAAAAGCTGGAAAAGCAAAAAACTGACCTCAGCAATTTATCGTTGTGTAAACGACAAAATGATAACTCGCGAGAAACTGCGAGTTATTGTGTGTAATATCTTATCTGCCTGCTAGTATCTGGAAAATTGGAATGGATAATCCGGAATTTATGATCCATTTAGAGAAACCAGAGACAGAGAGAGGGAGGGAGTCCGGTGGCTTCCAAATTTACAAGAAAACAAAAAGGATAAGTAAAACGAAAAATCTGTTGAAAAAACTGATAAGCTAAGACTGAGGAGAGAAAGCTCATGGGTGATGCCGTGATGCAGTGAAGAATAAGAAAAAATAGTTAAAATACATGTTCACTGAGCCATTGAGGATCACCTGTAAATGCGTTGAATAACGGTAGACAAAGAACAGTTCTGCACAAAAATCAAAGAAAATCGAAAAAATAGAAAACCGGTACTTGAAATTTATAATCTTCTTAAATCATTAATGCCCCAGATTATTCAACAGAAAAAGACACCCCAATTAAAATGATTACTTAAAAGATCTAAGAAAACTTTCCGAGCTAAGATCGACTGTCAAGCTCAGAGCAAGCAAAACATGTTTAAGAAACAAATTGAGAGAGAGAGAGAGAGAGAGAGAAGCTAGTTAAGAATTTAAAAGAACAGAATGACGTAGAAATGAAGATCAACTAAAAGAACCGCAAAAATTATATTCAGCATGCGAAAAAGGATCACATCAACAGAAATCTATAGCATGAATGAACCAGAACAAGAATTAGCCCAAACGACAGAAAACTGCCATTCTAACGATCGCAGTATAAGTTGAGGCCGATCAAACGAAACAGGAGCTAGAAAAGTAGAAGACGATCACAGATATTGCTCTCAAAGAACAACAACAAGCAAATAAAAGTTTGCAAAAGGTTACCTGAGAGCAGAAACTGGCGACGACGAAATCTGAGACGGATCCTGGACGTTGCCAGTCCAGATCTTGTTGACGAATCGCCTTCCTAAGCTGACGACTCCTCGACTTTGGCAATTGGCGGCCATGCAATAAGTAGAAATCGCGATTGGAAAGCTTTGATCGGTCGAAGTTCCGGAGAAGAAATGAAGAAAAGATGCAGAGAGAAGAAAGCAGGAGAATCAGCAGAACTCAATCGGTTGCCTCGTTCACTTCGCCCCCAAATCGATTTTTATATACTTAAACTCTCTCTCTCTCTCTGTCCTTCTCGCTCCCACCCGCTCAACAACCTCTCTACCTCAGTCCGCACCTACACCCGAAACCGTCAATTGTACACTTTTCCGTCCAAGCCCTCCGTACTATTAACGGTTGCCGTTAACTAACGGAATCTAAGACCGGAAAGTGAAAACCGGGAGATGCTCCCAATGCACGGTGGATGTCCTGTGAAGCGCCCATTTGTGAGGAGCAGATCCCGTTTCCCTTGAGAGTGCGAGGAAAATGGAAATATCCTTGCTTTGTCCGTTTGTCGCACGGTTCTATGACACTTTGACGCGAATAAAGCAAAGCATAAAGGAATATGCGGTTCTGCGTGGAAATTGTTTAACGGCGGATTATCGCTTTTAACGGCGTCAGTTAGCTGGTTGTCAGGAGTCAAGGACCGACTCAAGGTCATCGAAAGGGCGTGATACAGTAAAATTACCATAATACCTTTTTGTCCGTTTGCAATCTATTGTCCAATGGCGTGAATGCAAAATGGAGCTTGCGTGTAAAATGTACGTAATTTTACTTATTTAATAATTATGAATGAGATTACAAAAGAGCCCTTATTATACGAAATCAGTGTCCCCACCACGTGTCCAAATGCACTGTTTTTTAATTTCCAAAGAAGAAAAAGAGGTTGTTTTATGGAGCGCGTGGTTTTCTTTTCGACCGTATGATCTGTGGACTTTGTTGAAATGTTTAGGGCCCTAATATTAATAGGGTTCGACTAATATATGGAAAAGATATAATATGAAAAAAACAACTGATTGATTAATAAATTGAAATCATAAAACGTGGTAACAAATAAAGTATTATTTATCAAAATTCATGGGAAGATTTTGATTGGTCAAATTTTTTTTCATATCATATATTTTTGTATCATACATATTTCCTAATTAATAAAGTAATACTTTTAATATAGTAGTAGAGGGTGCATGTGCGTTGCACGTGTATGTTTCTATTCTCAAAATTAGGAGTGTTCACAGTTCGGTTCAGTGCGATTTGGAGAAGATCTCAGACCAAACTGGTAAATTATGGTTTGAAAAATTTTTAAATCGAACTAAACTGTTTTGGTATAGAAATCAAATCAAACCAAACTATTTTATTATAATTTGTTGTGGTTTCTAATACGGTTTGAAGACTTTGGACCATTTTATGATTCTTTTGGGCTTAACCCAATTAGAAAGTTCAAATAGCTCCCCTAAAAATTAAAACTTAAAATCTTTTATTTATTATTTTATTATAAAATAAAGAATTCATTATATATTTATAATTTTACGTATTCCATTTAGATATATTATATATAATATTTATATATCATATATTCATATTATATAATTTCGGTTTATGGTTTGGTTCAATTTATAAAATTCAATAAACCAAACCGTAATTTAGAAAATTCTCAAAACGAACCAAACCATTTATAGGTATTGCGGTTTGAACCGTATAATGAACATCCTTAGACAAAATAACATATTTGAATTGAAGTGATTTAAAAAAAAAAGAATTGATTTTCAAGTACCAAAAAAATAATACACAAAAACAACCCGACAACAATAATAATGACTAAATTCACTATGAATTTATAATCCAACCTTAGTGTTATAATCATTATTTGAACAGAAATCAATCAAAGCTACTAAGCTAACAAGTGAACATAATGAAAATGACTCATCAGCTCTACCTAACAATTGAGCATGAAAAAAATAACACAAATGGAAAATGTAAGTTTAAATATCTTCGATCATTCTCTAATTTAAACTCCTCTTCATTACCCCCCAAAAAATTAAACTCCTCTTGTTTTCTTGTTTGATCTATTAATTAAATAGCAATGTTCCTTTCATCCAAAAGCATTCCTTATAGACTAGCCCAAAACGACCATCCAAAAGCATTCCTTATCTCAGTTGCAAGTTATAGGGTTGTATAATCACCTTTCTCTTCATATAAACTGCTATACACCTAAAACAAAATAACAAAAAAAAAACAAAAGAGAATGCAAGTTAAATCAATTTAGAATTTTAGACAAAATAAAAAAATAATAAACTTACTTTGTTGAGTGAGCTCTTATTTTGGGATTCTAAATTGTATCCAAAGAAAACGAAATAGCATTGAAATGCTATAGCATACTACACCCCTATTTAGGTTCAAATTTGGAGGATTTTTATAAATATGATCACATTTCTATTAAAATGGGGAGATACATCCATTCAAGTTATCAATTAAGCTTATCCTTGAAGGAGAAATTTTGAACCTATTAAGATAATTTGATTCTATTTAATATCATGAAAACAACCCAGAGTAATGTGAGAGTTGTTCACCACATTGATATTTGATAAAAATTTAACCAACATCATGACTACATGTCCATGTATTCATTTTTTAGGACACTTGTCTCTCTTGTATATAAGGGTAAAATAGAAACTTGTGAATTTGCCAGATTGGTTGTCAACCCATACAAAGTTGTATTATTAATAGGGGTAGATTTTATAAATAAAAATAAGGTGTTCTATCAATTAAATAATGAGGTATATGTTTGTTTGGCTGTTTTATATTATTAATAGGGGTAAAGTTGGAAATAAAATTAGGATGTTCAATGAAGAGCCATTGATCATTCTCATTTTTAATAATGTTTTAATATAATTTTTAGAATAGGTTAACTTTTTTTAAAAAAAATATCAAATAAGCATGTTCATCTTCTTCCTCTTGCAAATCATTCATCAGCTCCGTCGCCTGCCGCCGCCTTCGCCCCAGCCTTGCGAATCTCTCTCTCTCTATGTTGTGTGTGTCCACAGCTCTATTCCTCTAATGGCTCTTGCCTCTGTTTCTCCTTCACCATGTTGTTGGGTGTTGTTTATTGAGTCTATACTTGATTCTGGTTCAATCTCATGTAGCTACGTTGGCTCTACTGGTTGGTTGGAAGAAGCACTACGAGAATAACAACCAGAACAATAGACCATATATCCAATCCAACGAAACCGCCTTTAACCTGTTCGGTGGCAGTTGGATTCGCGATAATACATACCCGATATACCAGTCCTCCAACTGTCCCATCTCTCTCTATTGTGAAATGTTGGGTTATGATCCTTGGGGTTTCTAAGGGCTTCCAGAGTTCCCCTCTCTCTTTATTGCGAAAGAGCCTTCGTCTCAGGATTTCTTGGTATTTCTCTTTGTCCATCCTCCATCGTCCTTCTTCCGTCTTCAGCCATTTTTGGGGTGATTTCCCTTGGGGAGTTATCCCTATCCCCTTTCTTTTCTTCTCCCTCTCCCTCTCCCCCTCTCTTCTTTGCTTCTCCCTTTCCCTCACTCCTCTTTCCTTCTTGATTTTCTTGTTCCACTTCTCGTTCTTTCCTCTCACTCATTTTTCTCCTTTATTTTTTGTTTTTCTTCTTTATATTCTTTTATGTAGGGATTTTGATACAAGAGGCTGACTCTTTCATGAAGAATTTGGTGTTGGGCAGTGACAAAAGCAGAGACGTGCAATGAGATAAGAAGTGYGATGTAGAAATTTGAACAAGATATGCGATGACAAAAACAAGTGTGATTAGGAAAAACTCTTGTATTTATTTTGACTCATTTATCTCTTTAAATAATACAGATGGAAGATTCTAAGAAATAAGAAAACACATGTCGAATTCTTGTATAGCTGGCTAACTAACTAACAAACTTAATAGCTGTCAATAACAACTTCCTTCTAGAACTTCGTATACACCCCCTTAAGTTGGAGCATGTGGATTAACAATGGCAAACTTAGAACCCAAGGTCCGAAAATTGGTCATGTCCTAGTGACTTGGTGAAAATGTCGACTGGTTGGGATCTCGTGGGTATGTAAGCAGTGGTAATGAGTCTAGATAGAAGATGATCACGTATGAAGTGACAATCTATCTCGATGTGCTTGGTCCTCTCGTGAAATACTGGGTTGGCTGCAATGTGGAGGGCAACTTTGTTATCACAATACAATTCCATAGGATGAGAATGGATAAGGCCCAGATCTTTGAACAATTGTCGTACCCATATTAACTCACTAGTAATAGCAACCATGGATCAATATTTTGCCTCGGCCGAGGAGCGAGAGACAACATTTTGCTTCTTGCTTTTCCAAGAGAGTGGTGAATGACCAAGTATGACAAAGTAACCTATAGTGGAACGTCGTGTGAATGGATAACCAGCCTAGTCTGAATCACAATAAGCCCATAAGACGAGGTCATTGTTGGTTGATAGCTAGATGCGTTGATCAGGGCATGATTTAAGGTATCGAAGAATTCGTAATGCAACATCCATGTGTGGCTAGTAGGGCTTGCCATGAATTGGCTGAGAATATGAAGTGGATAAGAAATCTCAGGCCAAGTGATAATCAAATAAATGAGTCTCCCTACTAGCCGCCAGTATTGATCTGGATGGCTAATGGGTGCACCCATATCGGGTTGAAGTTTGTGTTGTTGCTTCATGGGGGATGTACATGGTTTGCAGTCTAACATGCTTGCATCATGTAGAATGTCCAATACATATTTCTTTTGACAAAGAGAGAATTCATTATCAATGTGGGAATCTTTAATGCCCAAAAAATATTTTAGTGGGCCTAGATCTTTAATTGGAGAACACCTTTGCAAGTATTGTTTGAGACTTGCAATTTTATCATGATTGCTCCCCATGATGAGTATATATTCCACATATGCCAATAGAGCAAGAGTAAAGTTGGGACCATGCAAAGTGAAGAGAGTATTATCGACTGATTACTGACTAAAACCCCTCTATTTGAGTGCTTGGGCCAATGCAAAGAACCAGTTCCTTGAGGCCTGTTTGAGCACATAAATTGACTCGTTAAGTCTATAGACCCATGGATCTTGTGTGGACAGCAATCCAGGAGGCAGAAGCATGTAGATTTCCTCTTGAAGTTCCCCATGAAAAAATGCATTGTTAACATCCATTTGATGAACTTCCCAATGATTGGTAGTTGCCAAAGTGAGAAGGCATCAAACTGTGACAAGTTTTGCAACTGGGGCATAGGCTTCAGTGTAATCTAT